CACGAGTCTCATTAAGTGTCCAGTTTAAGGGTATTACACAGAAACATACCAAAGGAACATGAATCAAATATGTACTTTATTCATTTACAATAAACTCATAATGTACATCATTCTGATTGAAGTTAAGGGCATACAAAAACTGTCTAACACCCTCAATTATGATAAGAAAGTTTGAGAAATTCAGAGCTAAATTATGGGCTTTTCAAACAGCCCAAGCTTCCTTCTTATTGATGGAAGTAAAACCCAATTTATAAGTTTAATATCCAAAACTGCACCCAAGTGATCTCTAGCGAGAATGGCAATAGCGCACAAACCGTCCTCCATCTTAGATGCACCAAAAATAATTTTAATCTCACCATAATCCGGAGAATTCCACCTTATGAATTTATAGTCTTTGTTCAAACCATCCCCATTAAACTTATTTGAAAATTCTTGAAATTCCATGAACGAGCCGAGGGCCTTTTCAATGAGCTTAAAATGCGGAGTAACGGTCTTTCTTTTATTGTTCGTCTTCTCTAATGCCTTTTATCACTCATCAATCATCATATGAGAGTCGGAATCTGCTGTAGTCTTGCCACTTGTTCTTTAAACGTGTGGCGTTCTTCCTATGTGCAATAATTTACTAAAAATATTTCCTTCATTATTTATATAATTTTTTAAATCCTTTCCTAAAACTTCACGTTCCCCCTCTCTCTTTCTTAACCTTTCTGTCTTCCCCAACCCTAATCTACAAGTTTTATTCCAAGACTTTTGAGAGCTTATATGCAATTCTTTGTTCTTCTCGTTTCAGCCATAGATGACATCTGATTGGGAGGTAGGAAAGTATAAGTCAACCCCCTACTTTGAGAAAATTTAGTGGTGTTAAGATCATGCGATACTTATGATGTAGTGTTATTTTGTCATCCATGCTTTTCATACCAATAACAGATTTTAACCTCATTTCATACCAAGAATAAATTCAATAGTCTTCTTATTATAATTACATGTTGTCTATATTGATTGTGATTGTAATGAATGTATCACACCTACACACAGAAACACCATTGGCGAAACGCAAGTTGGCGTAGATCTGCAACGAGTTCATAACTCGTCACAAAACTGTGATGCATTCAAAGCCATCACAGTCTTGTGATGGATGAAAACATGTACCATCAAACCAAAATCGCATGTAGTAGGACATCTAGAAGGTCCAAACAAAAACAGGTCAAATTAGCTCTTATGTCACCCGTACCACGTCGCTACAGGAGACCCGCAAAGGGAAGTAACACACGTATAGTATGAGAATCCTCAGATGAAAGGAAATTTCGTCTTAGAAAGATCTCATGAGACACATGGCAAACCCCTAGTAGTGCCCCCCTGTCAACTAACACCGAATTGAAGATCCCCTTTCGAAATAGGAATCAAACCCCTTTTGGCTCTTTCCCCTCAAGACCTTGGGATCTCTCCTTATAAAAAGGGGATACGACGAATCATAAAAGGAACACAACTCTGTCAACAGAACCTCATAGCCTACTCTTTCTGCCTAAAAACTCTTAGCCTTTCTTCGCCCTTCAAGGAGACCACCACACTTAGCCTTATCACACCACCTACATTTATATATCACACAAGCGGGGACCCATGCAATGGGGAGGATTTGTCAAGGGAAAATAAAATAACAGAAACTAATAACTATTATAAAAGATGCAATGTTGTTTAAAACAACTAATCTTTATTTTACTAATTTATTATAAAAATAATTTAATAATTTAGTCATTCAAAGTAATTATATTATTTATTTTAATAAAATTGCTAATTATTTAATAAAATAACTATTTTTTCATATTATTTGTTAGTGTTCTATTTTATTTATTTTATCTTATTAATGATTAAATGTTACAATTTTTTATAAATATTACTTAAATATTTAAAATACTTATATATTAGTAAATATATAAAATTAGGTTGTAGTCTTAATTAAATTAATCTAAGCTCGATATCGAGGCTTAAGACTTATGGTTGAGCTTGAGTTGACCCTCAACCTGACCCAACTTGCCCAAGTTGCACCCTCTAAGAGCAATGTGACATTTGTAATTGGATTGAACCAAACTGAGTACAACATATGCATGCATTACTTTTTGGTTTTAACTATTTTTAGATAAAAATTATTAATATTGTTGCTAAAGAAGCTATAGGGGATGGGCTACCCCCATTGTTTAGATCAATGAACTAAAAAAGTAAAATATCTTGAGAAAAATTTTGATAATGTATTAACAGTTTTTAAGATTGTTTGGCCCAACTCAGCCCATACCCTAAGCATAATAATATTTGTTTAGACTTGGGACAGACAAACTTGCCCATATTAGTTATAAAACTATGATTTCTTTTACAAATTAAAACTTTCTTAGGGAGTTACTTCTAAATAACTCAATCAATGCAACTTAATAAACCAATGTAAGAGCCTTCCCAAAGGAGTTCTTAGTGTTGATATTAGCTTAAGTGGATTTTGTTATTTTAATTAATGATTTATTGTTATTTATTAAACTATGAATAACTAACAATAATTGAAAGGGGATAGAAGAGTCAGTGGTAGACCAAAAAGAACATGGGTGGTAGTAAAAAATGGTTTAAACACTACTACTACTATTATTATTATCAATTTAAACATATAAGTCTTTTGCTAGAATTTAAACTTATAAATTAGTACATGGTTATTTTTGTATTATTATCAAGTTAAAGAATGTAATGTGCTTTTTCAAAAAGTAAAGAATCTGTTTTTGATTTTTTGTCATATTGGTAAAGTTGTCCACCCAATTATTAATGATGGGTTGGATCAAAGCTCATGTTTTATGATGGAAAGGTCATTAAAAGAATGCTAACCAAGCAAAAGGTCAATAACAGAATATTTAACCAGCCATCAGTAATCTTGGACTGTTTTTATACACAAACAAAGTAAACAAATAATTGAAACGTTTTGATTTCTCGTGCGCGATGGTAAAATGCTAGCATGAAAAATGTCGGAAACATAATAGACT